TTCAGATGTGTCTCATTACCACAGCTGAGAAGAGGAGAAGGATAACCTTCATCAACCTACTGGTGCACTCTTCCTAAAACAGCCCAGGATGCTGTCAGCCTTCTGTGTTGTAAGTGCATGTTGCCAGCTCTGGTGTCTATCAGAACTCTCATGTCTTTTTCTTAAAAGCCACGGTCAGCCCACAGCGTGTACTGATTAAACCTTACTGGGATTATGACTCCACAACTGCAAGACCTTGCACTTCCCTTTGCTGAGCAACATGAGACTGTTGTCAGCCCATTTCTGCAGCCTGTCCAGCTCCCTCTAAATGGCATAAAAACTCTTTGGTGTGTCAATCAATCTTCCAAATTTTTATTGGCTGCAAACTTGCTGAATGTATACTCTGCCGCGTCATTCAGGTCATTAATGAAGATGTTAAACAGCATTGAAACCGATATCAACCCATGGGATGCACCACAAGTGAACAGACTCAGTTTGGCTTTGTGCCACTGATCACAACTCCGTCAGCAAGGCAATTCAGTCTGTTTTCAGTCCACTTCATTGTCCGCTTGAATAGCCTGTACTTACCAGTTGTCTATGAGAACGTTAAAGGAGACAGCATGAAAACTCTTGCTCAACTTAAGATAAAAACCATCAAACATTCCCTTTCACTCACCAAGCCATTTCCGATAATCTCCTTATCCTTCAAATATTTGGAAACGTTTTCTAGGATGGTTTGTTCCCTCACCATCACAGGGATTGAAATAAGGCTGATCAGTTGTAGTTTCCTGTAGTTCCCCAGGTATTTCTTCTTGCATGTTTTGAAGAGTGATATTGTCTCTCTTTCAGTCTTTAGAAACTTCTTCCAATAGCCACTACCTTTCAAAGACAAACATATGTGGCCTCAGAATGGCCATGGCCAGTCCCCTCAGCACTATCAGGTGCATCCCGATAGGTCCACGGATTTACATACGTCCAACTTGTTCAAACGTTACGTAGCCTCACACTCTTCACTGAAGGTGTCCTTTGCTCTAGTCTTTCCTGTAGGCCTTAGAGAACTGAGACTCCTGAAGGCAAGTCTCACCAGGAAAGACCAAGGTGAAGAAGGCATCGAATACCATGACTTTATCCATGTCTTTTGCCTCCAGATTCCCTGTCCCATTCAGCAATGGGTCTGTATTGTTCTTAGTTTTCCTTTTGCTCCTGATATGCTTGTGGAAGCCCTTCTTGTTGCCTTTCAGTTTCAAATCCAGGTGGTTTGACTTTCCTAACCACACTCCTTTATGCTTAGACAAGGTTTCTTTGTTCCTTCTGGATCATCTGATCTTGCTTTCACCTCCTGTACACTTCCTTTTATTCCTGAGCTGAGTTAGGAGCTCCTTGCTCATCGACACAGACCTCCTGCTACTTTTGCTTTATTTCTTGCTTGTTGGGATAGACTTTTCTTGACCTTGGAGGAAATCAGAGCAACGGAATCCTGGCATATATCAGAAACAGTGTGGCCAGCAGAAGCAGGGAAGTGATTGTCCCCCTATACTCAGCACTGGTGAGGCCACACCTGGAGTGCTTTGTCCAGTTTTGGGCCCCTCACTTCAAGAAGGATGTTGAGGTGCTGGAGCGGGTTCAGAGAAGGGCAACGAAACTAGTGAAGGGTTTAGAGAACTTGTCTTATGAGGAGCGGCTGAGGGAGCTGGGACTGTTTAGTCTGGAGGAGGCTCAGAGGGGACCTTATCGCTCTTTACAACTACTTGAAAGGAAGTTGTAGGGAGATGGGGGTCGGTCTCTTCTCCCACGTTATGAATGACAGGACGAGAGGGAATGGCCTCAAGTTGCGCCAGGGGAAATTTAGGCTAGATATCAGGAAGCATTTCTTTACAGAGAGGGTTGTGGGGTATTGGAACAGACTGCCCAGGGAGGTGGTGGAGTCCCCATCCTTGGAGGTGTTTAAAAACTGTGTAGATTTGGTGTTGAGCAACATGGTTTAGGGACCCTGACAGTGCAGGGTGAATGGTTGGACTCGATGATCTTGAAGGTCTCTTCAACCAGACGATTCTATGATTCTATGAAATGATCCTTGAAAATCGACCAGCTCTCCTGGATCCCTCTTGTCTTCAGAAGCATTTCCCATGCCACTATTCCAATCAGGTCCCTGAACACAAAAAAACTTGCTATCCTGGAGGCCGAGACTATGATGGTTATTGCCTTGTTTTTTCCTCCCAGGATCTCGAACATCACAGTCTCATGACTGTTGCAGATAAGACTGCCCTGGTTTTCACATCCACCATCAGTTCTTCCTCATTCGTAAGGGTCAGTAGATGTATCACCTTGTCAGTTCTTTGGTCATCTGTGTTGGGAAGTTATCATAAAAGAAGTCCAGAAAACTCCTGGATTGCTTATGCTCTGTTATGTTGTCCCACCAGCAGATATCAGGGTGATTAAAGTTCCCAATAAGGACCAAGGCCAAGTTGCCTGAAGAAGGCCTCATCCATTTCTCCTATATTAGGCAGTCTGTAGAAGATATCCATCACAATGCCACCACCTTTCATCTGTAATCGAATCCTAATCTATAAACTGTGAGCTGTCTTTGCACCAGGCAGAGCTTCATGCAATCTTGTTTCTTGCTCACATAAATGTTAACTGCCTTTCCTAACTGTCGTGGGTAGTGTTTTGAAACAGCCTTTATCCATCTATGCCACCACTCCAGTAAGAAAGTTATTTTACCATATTTCTATGGTCATGATGAATTCATAGTCTCTCAAAAACATGAAGACCTCAGTTTCTTCAGTGTGTTCCCTGTGTTGTGTGCATTAACACACAGACACTTCAGAAAGGCATCCACTTGTGTTGGTTCCTCAGAAACAGTGTGAAAACTTAGTCCATCATGTTGCCCTTGCAGCAGCTTTTGCGTAGTTGTGTGCTTGCACTTCAGATAATCAAGTTCTTGCACTTCAGCCCTAGTTTGTTGTTTCCATGGTCTCTCATGCCCACATTACCTTGAAGCCTTGTTTTCTCAAACTACTCCAACACTTCCTCACTTGATTGTAGACCTCCATTCCCCCATTATTCCGAGTTCAGACCTCTCCTCACCAGGTTGGAGAAGATGCTTTTGCCCTGCATGGTCAGATGAATTCTGTCTCTTCCTGGCAACTCTTGATCCTCGAAGAGTGTCCTAAGGTTGTTGAAGCTGAATAATTGCTGCTCACACCAGCTATGCAACTAGTTTTTGATCCAAAAGATCCAGCCAGTCCTCCTCAAGCACTCTCTCTTGTCAGCCGGAACAAGTAAAACACCACCTGAGAACCTATGCCTTTGCTTCTTGCCCCTAGAGAGTGTAGTTATGGTTTATATACACCAGGGCAGAGCTGGCAGTATTGTTGTTGCCCACATGGATGAGAAG